ACTGTAAACTCTAAATCAGCCTCTAAAGTAACAAAACCAGGGCTTAACACTAATACATCTGAAAGATAAAAGAGAATCATTAAAAACTCAATGAATCCAAAAGAAGGCAGAAAAAGAGAAGGGGAACAAAGGACAAATGGGTAACCAGGAGACAGACAGCGAGGTAACAGACTTCAATCTAATCCTACAAATACACTAAATGTAAGTAAACTGAGCATTGCAGTAAAAGGCAGGTACTGTCAGAATGAACAAAACCCAAGATCAACTAGACGCTCCTTCCAGGAAATGTCCTATACACATAAAGAGACAAGCAGTTTAACATAGGGTGGGAAATGCCATCTAACACTAGTCACAAGAAAACCTGGCAGTGGCTATTTTCACATTAACAGTGGATAATATTTTCATTAGTTTCATTATTTACAAAATTATTTATGTGTTTTATTAATTAATATTTTTAGACAACATCGATTTCAGAGCAAATAACATAATCAGGGATTAAAAAAGGTCATTTCACAGAAATAACGGTAAATTCATCAGGCGAACATAACAATCCTTAACATTTCTGCCCCTAAAAGAGCTTCACATACACGAAGCAAAAACTATGAGGAGACGGAAGAGCTAGAACTACAAGAAGAAAACCCCACACTGTGGTGGAGACTTTGGCGCCTGAACCTCAGACAGGAAACCAGCAAGGACACAACAGACGGGACAGCACTGTCAACCAACCTGATCTAACTGGACTTTGTGGACCCTTCCTCCCCACAACAGAATGCAGGTGCTTCTCAGGTGCACATGCAGCAGTTATGAAAACAGACCATTTCATGGACCGTATCGCAAGTCTGAATAAATTTAAAAGGGTTCAAATTGTACAAAGTATATCCTCCAACCACCTGTGGAATTAAATTAGAAATCAACAACATAAGATATTCAGAAATTAAATAACAAACTTCTAAACAACCCACCGGTCAAAGAAGACATGAAAGTGTTACTGGATAGTTTCTTGAACTGAATGAAAATGAAACTACAACATATCAGCATTTAGTGAATGCCTAAAAGCAAATTTTATTGCACCAAGTGCCTATATCAAAAAAGAAAGGTTTTAAATCAATAAATTCAGTTTCTACCTTAAGAAACTAGAAAAGGGAGAGCAAATTTAATCCAAAGTAAGCAGAAGAAAGGAAATTTAAAACATCAAAGCATAAGTCAATGAAATTGAAAACAAAAACTATAGAGAAAACCACTGAAACCAAAACCTGATCATGGAGATAAAAGTGAGAAGACACAAACTGCCCATGTCAGGGACAAGAGAGATGACATCACTGCAAATATGATGAAAATAAAGGAATGCTATGAACAACTTCATGCCCATAAATTAACAATTAGATGAAATGGACAAGTTCCCTGAAAGGCACAAACTATCAAGTTTACTCAAGAAGAAATAAATACCCTGAATAGCCCTATATCTATTAAAGAAATTTAATTTGTGATTAAGTACCTCCCCACAAAGAAACTTCCGGGCTCAGATGGCTTCAATAATGAATTCTATTAATCAAGGAGGAAACAGAAGTAATTCTATACAAATTCTCTCAGAAACTTGAAGAGGGAATACTTTCAGTTCATTATATGAGGTGAGCGTTATCCTGATACCAAGACCAGACAAAGACATTACAATAAAAGAAAACTACTCAACAATGTCCATCATTAAAATAGATGCAAAGGATTCTCAACAAAATTTTAGCAAATCTAATTGAACAATATATAGATAAAGGATATACATCAAGACCAAGTGGGCTTTATTTCAGGAATGCAGGGCTGGTCTAACATTTGAAAATCTATCAGCATAATCCACTGTATTAACAAATTTAAGAAGAAAGGCCATATGATCATCTCAATAGATGCAAAAAATATTCTGACAAAATCCAATATCCAGATAAAAACAACAAATTGTTATTTGAAGGGAACTTTCTCAAGTTGGTTAAGGGCATTTATGTAAAACCTACAGCTAACAGCATTCTTACCAATGAAACTGAGTGCTTTCCCCTAAGATCAGCAACGAGACAAGAGGTCTGCTCTCACCACTTCTATCCAACGTGGTACAAAGTGTTCTGGTCAGTATAGTCAAGCAAGAAAAAGAAATAAAAGGAATCCATGTTGGAAAGGAAGCACTAAAACTTTATTTATATATGACATGATAATCTGGAGAGAAGACCAGATGGAATCTGCAAAAAAAGTTACTAGTACTAAGGTTGCAGGATGCAAAATCAGAATGTAAAAATCAATTATATGTCTAGATACTAGCAATGAACAATTGAGAATTGAAACAATACAATTTATAAGAGTATAAAAAATATAAAATACTTTAAGATAAGTCTGACAAAATGTTAAAAAAGACCTGTACGCTGAAAACTACAAAACCTTGCTAAGAGAAATTAAATAAAACCCAAATAAATGACGAGATATGCCTTTCCTAAGAGGTGGATGACTAAACACTGTTAGATGTTAATCTCCCTAAATCGAGTTCTAGAATAATGTAATCTCAATGCAAAACTCAGCAGACCTTTTTGTAGAAATTTAAAAACTGATTATAAAGTTCAGATGGACTGCCAATATGTCTCCTAGGATAAGAGAAACAAAGGAAAAATAAACACATGGGACGACATCAAACTAGAAAGCTTCTGCACAGAGGAAGAAACCATCAATAAAATGAAGAGGGAGCCCACTGTGTGGGAGAACATACTCCTTAATGACACATCTGACAAGGAGTTAATTTCCAAGATATATAAAGGACTTGTAAAACTCAACACCAGGAAGGCAAACAACCCAATTAAAAAATGGGTAAAGGACCTGAATAGATACTTCTCCAAAGAGGACATGCAGATGCCAAGAGACATATGAAAAGATGCTCAACGTCACTAATCATTAGGGAGATGAAGATTAAAACCACAGTGTATCACTTCACACCTGTCAGAATGTCCACATCAACAAATCAACAAACAACAAGTGCTGGCGAGGGTGTGGGGAAAGGGGACCCTAGTACACTGCTGGTGGGAATGCAGACTGGTGCAACCACTGTGGAAAACAGTATGGAGGTTCCCAAAAAATTAAAAATGGAGCTGCCTTTTGTCCCAGTGATCCCACTTCTAGGAATGTGCCCTAAGAATCCTGACACACTAACCAGAAAGAACGTATGCTCCCCTATGTTCACAGCAGCATTATTTACAATAGCTAAGATCTGGAAACAGCCCAAGTGCCCATCAGTAGATGAGTGGATAAAAAGCTGTGGGACATTTACACCATGGAATACTATGCACCTGTGAAAAAGAAAGATCTCGTACCCTTTGCGCCAGCAGGGAGGAACCTGGAGAATATTATGCTGAGTGAAATAAGCCAGTCAGAGAAAGACAAGTACCATATGATCTCACTTATATGTGGAATCTAATGAACAAAATAAACTGATGAACAAAATAGAAACAGAGAAATGGATACATGGAACACGCTGATAGTTGTCAGAGGGGAGGGGGGATATCTGAATTAGCCCACAAATGGTTTGAAAACTGAACATACATTGGAACCACAGCTCATGGAAGGCAGGTGACAATCTGTAGCCTGAACCTAACCAGGATGACTGCCTACTAAACAAAAATATCAAAATTTTCATGGAATTCCAAACAAGATCCAGACTATCATAACACAATATTCAAAATATCCAGTACACAGCGCAAAACTACTGGGCACGTGAAGAAGCAGAAAAATCCAAAATCACATGGGAAAAATCCCAAGTCCCACGGCACCATCTGAAAAAGACTCCAATATGTTTATTACATCTGTTACTGAGACTGGAGTCAAATCAATTGAATCAACTATTTTCTCCAAATTCTTAAATAAACTATAACCTGTTAATACTTTATTAAAATGTCAGAGTCTGGGAAAGACGTGGGTCAACCACAGACAAAACATTTTACATTTCCTAGTTACCAGAAACCACCACGAAGTGGAACACAGCGGTCGGAGGTAAGAGCCTCAGCAGTTGATGGGTAACAGTAACTCTTTCTTGGAAGGGCATATGTGTTGAAAAACAGTTATAGTTATAATCTGATTTTTAAAAATATTAATCAAGTGTATTTTGTGCACTTTATACAGAAAAAGTAATTCAAGCTCTGGCCATTTTAGAGCATATAGTATCTATTTAAATAACATACAGCAGAATTCAAGTTCTACACGTGAAAACACAGAAGTCCTACCAGAAAACAGGTGGACATCTAGGTAACCTGGGAGCTGAGGATGGCATTCCAAGGCAACTCTAGGCAGAAACAATACGGGCCTCGGTCCAGGGGAATCACCACAGACACTGGGAAAGTACTACCACGCACGGCTTGTGGCATCGTCAGGAGCTGAAAGCGCTGGGAAGCCAAGCTCCTGACAGCTATTAAAAGTACAGGTGTAGCTCGCTCAGTGGCTGAGCGTCAGCCCATGACCGAGGAAGTCAGGGTCTGATCAATATTGATGTAAAATATCAAGACTTCTTTCAGTTGTTGTTAATCCTCACAGAGAATATTTTTTCCATTGATTTTGAGAGAGAGTTGAAGGGAGGGAAGGAGGGAGGGAGGAAGAGAGAGACAAAGAGAGAGAGAAACATCGATGTGAGAGAGACACATCGAGTGGTTGTCTCCCACATGCGCCCCACTGGGGTTAGAGCATCAGCTGAGCACCAAAGGGTCGCAGGTGTGATTCCCGGTCAAGGGCATGTACCTGGGTTGCAGGTTCGATCTCCGGTCCCAGCTGGGATCATGTGGGAGGCACCCAATCCATGTGTCTCTCTCACATCGATGTTTCTCTCTCTCTTTGTCTCTTTCCCCCTCCCTGCCTCCCTTCCACTCTCTCTAAAAGCCCATGGAAAAAATATCTTTGGGTGGCGATTAACAACAAAAAAATCTGCTCTGTCAACATAGGGTCCCCTCTTAGAAAGGGAAACTGGCATTTAGCAAGGAGCGCTAACTTACCGGGTGCTTGGCAGAAAGTCTTCCCGTCACGGTCCCAGTCTGGTTCCAGGTGGAGGAGATGGAGCCCTTTATCAGTCAGAAAGAATCAGTTTAAGCTCTGACAGTGCTGTGTGAAGTCAAGAGAATGCTGGGCCCTTCAATCTCTCACCCTCCAGACACAACACTCACTGCTCTCCTCCAAGGGCCCTAAACCCCAACCTGACACGTGCTGGGTTTCAGACGCTGCTGATGGGTGATCGGGGTGGACAAGGAGCTTTCCCCTCACCCATGGCAAAATGCAGTAGGACGTGTGGGTCTCCGAGTCACTTAAAAACCCTGTGCATGGGAAACGGGGCCAAGGGGGCTCTAGTGGACTCGAGGTGGGCTGTGAATCCCAGACAAGTTATGTGGCCTCAGACAAGCCATAGAACATCTCTGGCTGCGGACCTCCCTGAACCGACCACAGATGTGAGCTGCAGTAACAGCTGGGAGAGCACGTGATCAGCAGCAGAGCCTCCACATGAGCACCAGCTCCTAAGAATGGCCCCTTCTAAAGACACCCGAATGACAACCTCGCAGCTCACAGTTCCAGGCTTGTGAGGTTACTTCACCACTAACTAAAATGTGAAGAACTTCTAAATCCACCTGAACTCATGGTAAACCAGATTCTAAGTATATTTAGCCTCCGTTACCTTTTTCGTGCAGGCTAGTAGTCCATCTACAAAGGTTGACTTGATCTTGTGAACCTAAATTACAAAGACAAGAATAACCATTTTCTCTGTTGAAGTATTTAAATAGGAGGAGCATCAAAGCCGAGTTTCACAGAGTGCTGGGCACCTAATGCGGACGTCACCTGAGATGACTCCAGGACACCCTGAAGTGGCCTGTGTGGTACCTAGAACTAAACTACAGTGACCCACAAGGAAAGTGTCACCTACTCCTCTGTAAATGAACTTACTGGTCTGCAATCCCTTTCACAGAAAAGATACACAGGTCAACAGGAGCTCCTCATGCCCGCCCCCGGTGTCCCCTGTGGTGCCCCTCTTAGTACTCTTTCAGTCCATTCATGACTTCAAGACAAGGGTCAGTTGCGACCATCACGCACCCTAACAGCTGCCCATCCCTCACAGAGACAGCAGGTCACAGGCTCAGTCAATAAAAAACCCAGTGGTACCAGTGATGGCGAAAGTGATACATGTGGTTCACAAACCACAGGGACCTGACGGCAGGTAAGTGAACAGAGGGAGCCTGAGCAGCTGGCAGGGAAAGGGGGGCACGCCCGTAACCAGCAGACGTTAGCACACGACGGTAGCAGCCGTGGAGCCAGTTTACCAGGCCCGGACACGGGGCTGGGAGGGAGGCGGCGTCTCAGCCCGGTGTGGATGGAAGTCCATGTCACACTGACGTTGCACTAACGCCACGCAGACACATGGAATACTCCATCAGGGTTTCCACCAGCCCCTTCAGTGCTGAGTGGGGCCGATCACAGACAAGAGTAAAACCACATTGGGCTGCAAGCAAGCAGTGCAAATACAGGTCACCCTGAACAAATTCTGTTCCCTTTAGGACCATGTCAGGGCTACCTCAGTGACTATGGATTTCTGTTCAGAGATGGTGCCATACGCTTCCCCTTCATCACTAATTTACAAAAAGAAAAATTAACTTACCTGCCTGTATTCCAAAATGATCTTGGGTAATGGATGAAAGTCTTGCAGGGCATTTAACTAAAAAATGAGAATAAATATCATCAATATAACTCATTCATTTAATTTTAACATCTCAAACACTTATTTTTAGCTGGAGAAAGTTAATAAGAAAATTGTCTACATTGAGCCCATTTTCCAAAATGAAGATTCATGATCAACTCAGTTTATCAAGCGTCCTAACCTCAATCCCTTACCAAGTCATTGTTGTCCCCATGGGAGCTAAAGGCACTTCACGTGAGCCAGATGAGATTCCGATGAGTGACATCTAAATCCAGGGCGAGTAACATACCACATGGCCCAGGCCGGGTGGCTCAGTTGGTTGGAGCATCGCCCCGTGCACTCAAAGGTGGCAGATTCCTAGCAGGGCACATACCTAGGTTGCCAGTGCATGTGGGAAGCAACTGATTGATGTTTCTCAATCCCTTCCTCTCTCTAGAAATCAATTTTTAAAAATTACTTTTAAAATGCCACATGGCAGCGTAAACTGGGAAAATGCCTACAAATGTGTAACGTGGATAGTTCAGGAACACCCAACATGCCTAACCCATAGGCACAGACAACACTGAGGTGAAGGCCTAGGGGATGGGGGAAGGTGCAGGGTGGACGGGGCAACGGGGAAGGGGGCATCTGTAATACTTTCAACAATAAAGATAAGTTTAAATACATACATCCCTAGAGGGGAAAAAGAAGAGTGCTGCCATGAACATTCTGGCTCACAGATTTGGTTAACGCGCCCACAGTTCTGGTGAGTGTGCGCACAAGGAGGCGTGAGGCTGCTGGGCCAGCCACAGCGGAGACAACACCCGCAGGCTCATCAGCACGCAGGGGAGCGGGCTGCCCCACATCTCTGGCAGCGCATGTGATCCTCAGTGCTAATTCCAGCGGCTTCAGGAAAGTGAAGTGATGTCTCACTTTGCTCTTGATGGGCAGTTCCCCAGTGACAGAGAAAGTCGAACAGCGTTCCAATACTTACTAATTGTGTATCTCCTTCCATTAAACCCCTGTTCATGTCTTTAGCCCATTTAAAAAACTGGTTTGTCTTTGTCTTCTTGACTTGTAGGAATTCATCAGTCTGGGCAGGGTTTTCTTTAAGTCGGTTATATGTGCTGGAAGTAACTTCTGCCCCTGCATGGCTTTTCCACTTGTTTCGTGGTGTCTTTTCATGAACAGAGGGTCTTAATTTTACTGTTGCCCCACTTATCCATCTCTGTCTTCATGGCTGGTGCATTTTGCGTCCTGAGAATGTCTGCCTGCGTCAAGGCCCTGAAGATATTCTCTATGTATCTTCTACAGCCTTTGTTGTTTTGCATTTTGTATGATGACATACAATTCACTCGGGATTTCTGTGTATGGTGTGAAGGGGGTCCAGAGGCATCAGCCTCTTATTGTTTATGTCACCAACCTACTGCCTCGCTGCCCTGCAGCGCCGGCCTCTAGAGGTCACTCTGGCACGCACACACACGGGGGTCTGTTGGATTATCCGAGTCGACACCACGTTGTACTGACTGATTAATTCCTAGTGATTTCTCTTGCTTTATGGTTAGTCTCGACATCCAATAGATTAAATCTCCCAGTAGTGCTTTATTTCCCAAGATTATCTTGGCTCTTCTTAGTTTTTTGCATTCCCATATACATTTGGGAATCAGCTTGCCAATTTCTACAAAAAACCTTCTGCTAAGGATTTAATTAGGATCTTTTTTTAAATCCTCACCTGAGGATATTTTTTCCATTGATTTTTAGAGAGAGTGGAAGGGAGTGGGGGGGGGAGAGGGAGAGAGAGAGAGAAACATCGATGTGAGAAGGACACAATGGCCAGGCCAGGCGTGGCTCAGCAGTTGAGCGTCAACCTAGGATCCAGGTGATTGGGGTTTGATTCCCGGTCAGGGCACATGCCCGGGTTGCGGGCTCGATCAATGACTCTCTCATCATTGATGTTTCTATCTCTCTCTCTCCCTCTCCTTTCCTCTCTCTGAAATCAATAAAGATATATTAAAAAA